GAGTCTTGCCATTAAATTAATAGGATACTCTTTCAGCACCATCTCCAACCCCCATACAAAATCCCGAGCAAAATCCCATTGACTTAGACTCCGTCGAAATATGAAAAACTATCCCTAACAAGTAAAACTGCATAAATATTGAGATTTTCGTATTTTTTTCTAACTTGGACTTCGAGTCTTGCTATAAAATTAATAGGATAGTCTCTCAGCACCATCTCCAGCCCCCATGCAAAATCCCATTTACTCAAACCCCGTCGAACTATTAAAAACTACCCTTAACAAGTAAAAATGCATAAATATTGAGATTTTCGTATTTTTTTTCAACTCGGACTTCGAGTCTTGCCATGAAATTAATAGGGTAGTCTGTCAGCACCATTTCCAACCCCCATGCAAAATCACATTTACTCAAACCTCGTCGAAATATGAAAAACTACCCTTGACAAGTAAAAATGCATAAATATTGGAATTTTGTTATTTTTTTCCAACTCGGACTTCGAGTCTTGCCATGAATTTGATAGGGTAATATTTTAACATCATCTCCAACCCCCATGCAAAATGCCGTTAACTTAAACCCTGTCGAAATATGAAAAACTAGCCTTAACAAGTGAAAATGCATAAATATTGAGATTTTCGTATTTTTTTCCAACTCGGACTTTGAGTCTTGCCATGGCTAGATTTTCATATTTCGACAGGGTTTAAGTTAACGGCATTTGGCATGGGGGTTGGAGATGATGTTAAAATATTACCCTATCAAATTCATGGCAAGACTCGAAGTCCGAGTTGGAAAAAAATAACAAAATTCCAATATTTATGCATTTTTACTTGTTAAGGGTAGTTTTTCATATTTCGACGAGGTTTGAGTAAATGTGATTTTGCATGGGGGTTGGAAATGGTGCTGACAGACTACCCTATTAATTTCATGGCAAGACTCGAAGTCCGAGTTGGAAAAAAATACGAAAATCTCAATATTTATGTATTTTTACTTGCTAAGGGTAGTTTTTCATATTTTGACGGGGTTTGAGTCAATGAAATTTTGCATGGGGGTTGGAGATGGTGCTGAAAGAGTACTCTATTAATTTCATGGCAAGACTCGAAGTTCGAGTTGGAAGAATACGAAAATTTCAATATTTATGCATTTTTATTTGTTAATGGTAGTTTTTCATATGTCGACGGGGTTTGAGTTGATGGGATTTTGCATGGGGATTGGAGATGATGGTAAAATAGTACCCATCAATTTCATGGCAAGACTCGAAGTTCGAGTTGGAAAAAAATACGAAAATCTCAATATTTATGGATTTTTACTTGTTAAGGGTAGTTTTTCATATTTCGACAGGGTTTGAGTCAATGGGATTTTGCATAGAGGTTGTAAAAGGTGTTAAAATAGTGCTTTATAAATTTCATGGCTAGACTCGATGTCTAAGTATGATTTATTGAATTTATTTTGAATTAAAAAACAATGCTACGCCAATGGTCGTTCGGGCGTTTCCGTTAAATTGGCTTCCAAGTTTTGGCTGCTAACTTCACACTGTTCATCAGGTTTCACAGGAACTCAGGAAAGTTTTGCTTTCTTTCCAAATTTCAACAAAAATAACAACCAAATTACTCAGAATAAATGGAAGCATCAAAAATATAACACTGAACTAAATATGCTCATAGCTTTTGACTTGGCCAGTCGACCAATAAAGTAATGCCACTAAGTAAAAAGTCATTGATATTAAAAAAAAAACTGTTTTGAATAATGTTGTAATTTTTTTTATTAACTCTATGCTTGGTTTATCAGCTGTACCTAAATTATTAAAATCAAATTTTGCTTGATTTTGTAAACAATTATTCACTTTGATAGTAAAAAACGATAAAATGCTTTTAGTTGCATTTTATCGTTTTGGAGTAAAACACAATTAAAATGACTTCACATTGGGCATTACATGTTAAAACTTATGATGAAAATTTCATCCAGATTATAAAAACTAAAACGCGTTCCTTATTAGTTAAATTTTTCCCTTCAGGTACTTGTTTTATTTCCTCTGGTAATTGGTTAAATAATTTGAAACGTAGGTCATTTATTTATTTCCGCTATACTAATCTAACTAAAAATATATAAATCTGCAGGGTTACATTTTTTTTATTGTATAACTAATGTGTAAGCAATGTGTATTTAATCAGTTCTGGCGCTTATCAACATTTAAAAATTAATCATTGGCCTTGACTGAAATAAAATAAAGAAAGAACTGTTTTTAAATCCTCTATAAACATGTATTCTCAATTAAAGGCTACCTGTCTGCTTTGTTAATTAGTTAAATTTACAGCTATTAACTTTTATTATCAGCAAGTGTGTTGGTGCCAAATATTGGAAATGATAACACCCACGAATGCAAAAAAAATTTAAACATATTATTCCAAATTCAAGTAGAAATGGGAACAGAACCATTAAATAATATGCTTCCTTGTTTTTTAGCCATGTTGAACGCACCTCCCACCCTATTAGGGGTTTGGACGAAAAAAAAGAAACTCTGGTCCCTAAGACGATGTAAGCAAAAATACAACCTTCCATATTGCATTTTCTCAGTGCTTACTGTCTTTGAAACAAAGACAGTTGATTTGTAAATGAAGGCATAAAAATGTTTGTAAAAACCAGTCATTTATTGCTAATCACTTACGAACACATATTTGGTGCAATAAAGCCTAAATTAATATAATGTATGGAAACTATCTTATTCCAAAATTATAATGTGTAATAATCTCAAGCCAATATTACAATATTTTTAACTGCTCGCCTTTTTATACAAATTTACTGGACAAAAAAGGGTGTGGTGTTCAACCAGTGTTTTATGTTCTGTTTGCTAAATGCTGTTTTTCAGTAAGTGTGTGTAGGTAATTATTGTGAAACATGATAAGAGATATTGCTTGATAAAAATATTCCTATTTGATCATGTGAATCATTGACATATTTTCGATTTGACTCATCAGCATTCATTAAAGTGTGACATGCAAAAACTCTGTGCATATCAGTAAAATATAATTTTGGAAATATTCCTATTTGATCATGTGAATCATTGACATATTTTTGATTTGACGCATCAGCACTCATTAAGATGTGACAAGTAAAAACTCTGTGCATATCAGTAAAATATTATTTATATTTCAATAAAATTTACTATGTGGAAGTAGACCTATCACTAATTTGCCCTGGTTTTGGAATTTTGCTTTAAATGTTTGTGTATAAACACCATTGAGTTGGCCATTATCTTTAAAATACTAAATGCCTCGAAATATGGTTTGTTTAAACACATCATTATCTATTAACAGCCATTTATTTATATGTACGTGCTATTAGAATTTTAAGTGTTATAAAATTAGTTTACTTATTAGATCATTGAGGTTTCAGCCTTGGTTTCAGCATACCATAATATAATAATTGTGGAATGGATTAGGTAAGTAATGGAAATGTGAATTCAGATTTGAACAAAAACAACCTATGAGGATGGGCAATATTATATATTTTCCAGAATGCGATAAAACAGTTTTCAATTGCCATTATTGAGGTCGCATTGTTGTCTGGTTTATGTAAAATAGTGGAAATATGTCATTTGTTCACACTACTTGTCAGTGCAGCGAAGTAACATGATTCCTATGACTAAATTCACATTAAATATGTCGTCAATAATATAACAGTTATTGGCTGTGAAACCACGAGCGTTTCGGAATTATTTGTAATACTTTTTTAAAATTGATAACATTACACATTACCTAAACATCATTCGTCCTACAAGGGTATCACGAATAATTCCAAAACCCACTTGATATTTGGAGCTTTTGATGCAGTGACCACACCTGTTCAGAAATGTCAGAAGTTATTGTTTTGACATTTCACAACAATTTAAACCCGAATTTAAATCATCAAGCAATATTTTATCCTCTGCAAGAAATTCCATAAAACTTACAATTTGATTCTCTATTGCCATTATCCATGTTATAGCTGCTAAGAGCTAACCGAGAGGCTAACATTAAGAACTCACCTATTGGAGATCGATTTATTTGAGATTATGTCAATGTCACATTGTTGGAAAATATTTAATTACCTGCTAAAAATTCTATAAAACTCAAATAGGAGATGGACTTGAATAGGAAATGTAAATTTCTCAGTAAGAGAAAAATACAACCGATGAAATTTTTTAACAAGTTTACTGGAGCAAACTGCATTTGATATTTTTAGCCTTTCCGAAACAGAGGGTGTTACTTACTCGATTTTAAGCAAGGGAATGCGATCTTTTAATTCATTTACTAGTGTTTGTCGTTTTAGCCCACCGTCAAACATTTCGATTTGATAAAGATAAAACCAACTAAGAAGAAGCCACCGCGTGATCTTTTTTCTCACTCCAAATGGAAGGAAACTAGAGAAAAGGGAGTTTGCCTTCTTCGTCAGTGATAACGTCAGGGGTTCTTTTTAGTTGGTTCTTACTCTAAGCCCAATTTTTTTTATTTTCATTCACTTATTTCATGGGACATAATCAAAATCTAATAAAATTCAGGACAATCCAGGTCACGGATCAAGCCTAATATAATGTTCAATTAAAATTCAAGAAAACAAAATTTCATCCAAACTCAAAACTGTTAGGATCTTTGATCCCATGTATACTATTAAAATTTGGAGGAAATGCATTAGAGAGTGTTCCTTTTTTGTAATGCAATTTCTTTTAAATCATCTCTTTTGCACAGGAAAGCTATTATTTCTAAATGGAGACCTAGGAGGATAGGAGTTGTTTTTCCAAATTCAGTATGGCGGCAATATCATTTGAACTCCTAATTTGACACCAAACGGATTGTTTCTTTTCAACTCCACGGAAAAAAAAAATTATCCAACCAAAAAAGTTTCAAAAATATTATTTAATTTTGTCAATATTAAATGTTGTTCATCAAAAGCATAATGTGGTTATGGCGTTTGTTAAAACTATTTTTAATCAAAATCAATTCAATTGATATATTTTTTTTTTATATTCCAGCTGCCAAATCGGAAATGGTGAAATCCAAGTTGCCCAATACTGTTCTAAGCAAAGTATGGAAATTAGCTGATGTGGACAAAGACGGTATGTTGGATAAAGAAGAATTCGCTCTGGCAATGCATTTAATCAACATCAAAATTGACGGAAACGATCTGCCAGCCGAGTTACCTTTACATTTGGTTCCTCCATGTAAACGTTAAATTATCGTTATGTATTTATTTTGAACAACCTATTTATTCTGTCATCCACAAGTGCTCTATCTATCCTAAACTTTGTCCATACTAAGTATATTCTTTGTACCCGAGTACAAAAATATCCTTTTATTAGTAAGTAATTTTACAATGAATTGTTTGATGTCAATATTTTTTGACAATAAAACAAATTAATTTATCTTGTGTCTACAAATTTTGTGAAGAACTTGTATATTTGAGATGTATGAAAAATGTCATAAAATGAACATTTTTCAAAAATCGAATATCCATATATTATTAGGTTTTTGTTTTAGATGAAGATAGTCCTAAAAAATGTTTACACACTCTGTCACTTATTTCATATAGGGCAGTATTTTTGTAAAATATGTAATTAAAAATTGACCAATTTTTTATTTCCAAATGGCTTAATGTACCTACACCAAGGATTTGTTTGCCTATCATGTATTCTACTTAATAATAAGTGTTTTCACCGTTTCCAAAAAAACACTTAGCCTTGGAACGAAATATAAAAAAAAATAGTTTTTGCATTTGGAAAAAAAAACATAGTCTTTAATGTAGCTAAAAAAAATAATAATTACATATTAACAAATAATTTTAAATAACCAATGTGATAGAAAAAGTACTGTGTATATTTGTATCATAACAATGTAGATAAATATTTTTTTAACAGATTGGCTCGGGAAGTGTGATCAGTCATTATATATACAAATTATTCAGATTTTTCTTAATATATTTTCTATATTATTTTAATGTTTAAGATTTTAGGCACTTGTAGGATTTTTTTGTTATAAAAATACCTAAATATTATCCATAATGTATTTAAGTTTTTTCCTATATGTACTGTTGTTAGAGTTTTTCAGAGGTATCTTATTTGAGATAGAAATTTTCCATGATTGTTTAATAAAATGTATTTATAAATTAAATCTCATTTTATTTATAATAATTCCGGTAACTGAAAATGCCCTGATTGGCTCCTCCATAGAGGGACCTAAGTAAGCTACTCTCTTGTTAGGATTAAGCTATCCTAGAAATTTGTATCGATATCTACAATCTATATTAATCTTCCCGCCCTCTATCGTTATTTCTGTTGCTGTTCTGCTCACGCATTGGTCTCAGTGAGTAGTTTCTCATAGTGATCTTCCCGTTTTGTTATAAGCTGCACAGTCATATTCTTTTTCTCAGGTGACCTAATATTGTTTATAAATTTCCACGATTCTGAGCATTTTCTTTCCGACAATATTTTTTTGGCTGTTGTTATGGTTCTTCTAGTTGTTCTTTTTATTCATAGGTATGTAGTCCTATCTTCTTTCCTAGTTCTTAAGTATATCTTATATGCTTCTCATTTTTTTTTCACTAGACCTTCTATCTCTTTATCCCATCATACATTTTTACTAGGATGCTTTCTCTTAAATCCGAGAGCTTCTTCCGCTGCAGTGTGAAGACTAGAAATAAAGTTACTATGTATAGCCTTTAGTGTTATCGCATCTGAAAGATAGTTTTTGATCTACTCCGTTGGAATAATTTTCGTGCGCTGTCATAAATCAAACTGTCCAGGTTGTAGCAGTGGACCTTTATTTGTTCTGTGTTACTTCCGCTGTCCTTTCTTGTGCTGTTTATCTTAAATGGAATTATAAATTTCTCTCAAACCAGGTAGCGGCCTGATTCATATGTCACACCTCTGTAAGCTCTTACATCATTGATTTTTAGGTGGTATTCTGTTATGATATACCTACCGGAGTAGGTATAAGTTTCTTGTTGGTTGTGTCCTTGTATAAGTGTGTATGAGTTATTTTCAGCTAATGATTTACACATTACGTAAGTAGTCTTTCGCCCTTATATTTAATGTTCTTTTCCCCATATGTTCCTAGTTCCTATGAATGGGTTATTTGTTTTCTGTCCGACATGGCTGTTTATATATCTTCCAAAATTATCAGTTCTTTAGTGGTACGTATTTGTATTAAGTCATCGTTCATTTTTCCGGAGAATTCATCCCTGTGAGCATATGGTTCGTCATCAGATGACATGGCATAAGCTCTTAAACTCATGAACACTTATGCAATTTCCATTTACGGTGTCGAATTCCGTGATTTTATGGTGACGTTTTTTATGAGTCAGAATAGACACTCCTCCTTTTGCTCTTTTGTGCTTTGCTACCCCTCTAAATATGTGAACATAATTCTTCTTCAGTTCGGTTCCAACTGGACTGTCTTTTTTGATTCGGTAAGAATAACGATATCCATTCTCAGGCTATTAATTTCCCGGATTACTCCACTTCCTCTATCTTAACTTTGAGAGCCTACATTCCAAGTACCAATACTACCAATCAATGATCATAATCCATTTTCGTTTAAAAAAAATAAGGTTAACTGTCATAACTTGTTTTTGTCACCAATGTCATCCTGCATACCATTAAAAAAGGAAAATAAAATTATATTAAAACTAGATGTGGTTGTTTGAAAAGTCTTTGCATAATTTATGGACGTAAAGGTGAATTTGTAGGGTTTAACAAAAATTATTATTACCGAATGTAGGTAAATATAGGGTATATAGCACATGATACATGAATAAAAAATTGGTGTTTTCATCAAAAAAATAAAGTTAGCTGCCATAACCTCAGGTCATAACTTGTTTCTGGACTGGAGGGCTGTTTGTTTAAAAAAGAGAAGCGCTAGGAACCTAGTTACTTGGTTTGATAATTCTTCGTACGACTAGAGGGGCTTTCCCAAGAGAGGTACTCAACGTTTTAAGAGTGAATCCCTCAGAGAAGCTTTACCAGAAGAGTTACTGACGCTGAGCGCAGAGGGATGAGATAGTTTAGTTTTCCGATGTTTCGAACGAACGTTCATTTTTTGGTTACTTTCATTTTTTGTATTAAAGCCTAAGAAAAATGCTTCTATCTTACCTACCATAATGTTAAACATTTTCTAGAAAAAAAAAACGAACACAAACAATTAATTGGAAATCGACTTCTCTATTTGCGATAATTTGGAAATAATGTTGGTTCAAAAGTGTTGACGAATTTTTTAAAATGTAGCACTGAAAGGGGTCTTCATACGTGTCCCACCCTGTAAATATATGGTTCCCTAGAACTTCGTTCAAAAAATAAATAAAACTCAGAATTGTCTTTCAAAATTTGAATATAAAAATTGTACACAATTTATTAATTAATAATTCATATTTTTTAAACCTATATTTTAAAATTTCCTTTACAATAGTATTTTCTTATCATTAATATAGTAGGTAGTTTTAATATTAATGGTAATACAGTTTGAGAAGGCGGATGAAGATATATTGTGAACTACAATGAATAAAACTGTGTCGCGGCCGACGATTGCAATTCTATTTGTCCCATCTTAAATTGCAACCTCTGCAGCCATTTTAACAACATTGGATTGTTCAAATGGCCTATTTTGCGATTTTCATTGGGAACTTCTTGGTATATGGTTGGGGAAAAATTTCTGCAGTTCTGTAACCTGACTAGAAGGTGACCTGGCAGCTGAAAAATTGCGAAAATCAGCAATAAAAAAACTTGGGCAAAATGGCATTTTATGTTTTTCAAGAAGCATTTACCTGAATTTGATTAGATGATAATACAGGCGTCCACAGAGGTAGAAGTTTTGTTACAAAAGTAGATTGGCATTCGATCAGTGCTTCCAACATACTTAAAAAATGTAGGCTTACGATTTCGCTCAACTAAAAGAAAAATAGGTATAAAATGAGCCTGAGGTGGCTACAAAGGTCTCTAAATTTTTCATGTGGAAACTGGTACCCAGTCAAATACAAGGAGGAAGGGAAGGAGACATAACTAGGTACAGATCGTTTCACCAGGGTTCATACTTTTGATATCGAACACGTCGTAACTTGAGAAAAAAGGGTTGTCATAGATTGATTCATATGACACATTCAATTTTCTTCTGGTTTAAGAGCCGACGAACGTTTTTGACGTTATTGATTTGTTTCAGTCATTTTCCATTTATTAAAAAATGAAGGCAAAAAGTATGAACCCTCATGAAACAAAGTTTACTTTGTTTTTAAAAATAATTTTCACACTAGGAGTCGCTTTACCTTGGATTGTAAAACCTGAGTTAATTGGGAAATAGAAGTGAGCCATTGCATATTTGAATTGTAACACAAAAAAATCTTGGCTTTAAATTTCTAAAAAAAGCTTACTCTCCGCAACGTTCCGGATTATTTTGAGCCATCATCAAGGTTCTGTTAATACAAAGATAACAATAGGCCACTTTCAAGTGCCGGGAATATGAGAATGAACAATGAATAATATTTTGCACAATTTTAGTCAGATTATAATAAATAAATTGATAAATAAAAATAGCAAATTTAAACAAAAAATCACATTTAATCACAAAAAAACTATAGTAGGGGAAACTGTATATCGGGACAGGTTCCTTAGTGGGACAATTCAAATTGTCCGCCACCGGTATCGCTTATAATTCCGAAAAAAATTGTGTCAACTGCTTCATATATGAGCATTAGATATAACCTTGGCATTGGCCGTTAGAGTCTTCAATATGGCGGGATTTTCGTTAGTGTAAGCATAAAAGTGACAAAGTTTTTTTTTACGACCACGTGTTGGGCATAGTTTATGCCAGTAATATCCAATAGTTTGTCCTGAATTTGAGGATAATTATTCCCGAAGGTGTCTTGAAGGTGAATTAAGGTTATTTTTTTCTAGTATTTGTTCATATTTTCTCAAATTCAGAAAATTTCAAAAAGCGTATAAGGTTGTATTGTGGGACAGTGTATACTGGGACAGAATTTCTGGGTTGCATATTGGGACAAACATTTTATCTGCTCTATAATAGAACACTTTCGTATTTCACCTAGTTTCAATACCCTCTTTCTTCCAGAAATGGATAAAAATAGGGGCCGCAAAAACAAGAAATCGTTTTTTGAGAGTCGGAAAATTCACTTTGAGAATGCTGGGGAAGGCGGTAGACTGGTAGATGGTGTTCTTAAAAATGAAACCAATATTAAGACTGCTGCAGTTCAATTTGGAGTTAACAAATCAGCGTTGCATAGAAAGAAGCACAAAATAAATGAAGCAAACACGCAGGAATTAAATTTTCAAAAGGCAACATGGTGTCATTGGTGTCAAGCAGATTTTCAGTGACGATGAAGAGCCAATGCTTAGCAAATATTCAGTTACTTCTTCACGAAGGTGCTACGGTTTAACTAGCAGAAAACCTAGAAAGTTGGCTTATAGATTTGCCATCGCAAATTAAAATAAATCCAAAAACATGGACGGAGAATGAAATCGCCGGAGAAGAATGGTTCAAACTTTTTCGAATTCGAAATAAGTTTGGCTACCTACTTAATTTATGTCGAAGTTCTATCATTTTGTGAATAAGCGACGGAATTTTTTTTTATATCTACTTATTTTGGATCAAAAAACATTGTCCCACTATACCCATGCATCATTCCCAGTATGCAACATGGGGTGGTTGGTATAGTGGGAAAGTGGTGTATAGTGGGACATTCAATTTTTTCTATGTTAAAGTGTAAAAATTGTTGAAATTTTTATAATTGTTAATAAACAAACTACTTTTAAATATATTAGAATGTTCACAATAGTTAAAAATTATTCAACAATTTTTTTATTTCAATTAGAAAAATATTGTCCCAGTATACAACAGTCTCCCCTACTGATTTTGGTTGGAGTTTATAAATGATATCTAATTCAAGCGCAAATTTTCGTTGGTTTAAACGTTATATGAAAAACTTGAAAGTGGCCTATTATGGATATTAAAAAACTGGGGAACAAAAACTGACGAAAATACAATTTGTTTAACTGCCCGCGTATTTTTAGGAAAAACTAGTAGTCTAGGCCCATAAGCAGGAAATCGATCTCGATAAAGTGCATCAAGAAGCATTTCATGTAACAATTTGGGAAATGATATTTTTAGGGTATTTCGACCCCGCTGAATACGAATCTGCCTGTTGCCAAAGCGAAATTTGGACTGGGAGTCTGGTATTCAAGATGGCGGCCAAGATGGCTTCCAAACCTCTGTTGCCCTATATCTTTCTTGTCGGTTGGCTTAAAATATTGATTTAAACGCCGGCTTAGTAGTTTTCTCGGATGCTTATGATATTGAAATGCTCAGAAATTACTTACCTTAAGCCTGGAGTGCGTGGGCTCCAAGATGGCGCCCAAGATGGTCGCCGAAACCAGGGGCGCCGACTACGTGGGTGCTCGGGGGCTCGAGCGCCGACTACGTGGGTGCTCGGGGGCTCGAGCACCCACGAGACGTAAAAACGTAAAACGAGCATAGATATAAAAACTGATAATACCAATAATGGTTTCATTTATTTGTTAGTTAAGTGGTTAAAGTCTGTCTCAAAATTGATGAGATAAAAATTAAATGACATGATGAGGTTGGCGATACGATAGAGGATTTCAAGCTCAAGCGTTTGACCGGTCGGTTACACTTGATAGATGAACAATGAAGCAAACGTCATTTGTCAACCAATTGGTCTTGAATGACGTAAAAACCGTTGCTCATCTGTTAAAGTTACCGACTGCTCAATTGCTTGAAAACCCCCAATGGTACAATTTGAAATTGTCAATGCTTTCAAATTTTTCACGTAAAAAAGGTTTGTGTTGCCAACATTTTAATTTATACGTTGTACGGAAAAGAAATGCGAGGTTTCAATATGAAAGCGCTCGTGAGTCAAGATTTCGTAAACAACAAACGCAGCAAACGAACTCCTCCGTTAAAGTTTGCTTTTTGTAAAAATTGTTGCAATGGATGAAGAATATTGTAAAGGACTGCTTTTGAAAATTTTAGTCCACTTGCAAGTTTCCTATTGACAGGTTTGGTCACAGAATCGCGACGTCAAAAAAGGTAGACATAGAAGCATTGTTTTGGCGGGAATTTTTTTATTTTAAATCTAAAGTCAATTTTTTCCCAAGATAGATTTTGACAATGACAACTTTGAAACATAAACAATGAAGCTTATTGGTCGGAAGATGCCGTGTACCTACATTCGACGAAGGTATCGTTTTCCAACCATGTAAAAGGATACCTCACCTGTAAGGACACGGCATTTTGCGACCAATCAGAGCCACGCGGTATTGTTTATGTTTCAAAATTGACAATGTCAAAATCTATCTTGGGAAAAAATAGAGTGTATAGTATTATTTTTTTGTGTAACTGGGCGGTATCTGTTAAATGAAAACTTTTTATATCCTATTTAGACGATGTCGATTTCCGATTTGGAGTTAGAGTTTTTTGATTTTTGATTAAAATTTGCCGCCCCTTCTCGTATGCCGCCCGGAGCCATAGCCCCCTCTACCCCCCCCCCCCTCTCGCTATGCCACTGGCGATGGCACAACTTGGTGCAAGTCATTCCATTCTTCTTGCATGTGGACATTGTTGTCTGGCAGTGGGACGAACAATTACAGGTTAGAATATCCATGCAGGCTTTGGGGACGGGCTCAAATGTCATAAGGATGGGAATGTACTCGTCTTGGTGAAGCCTCCGCCTATAATATGACTCAGGATCCATTACCACCGGTCGGGCATGATGAGCATTTTCCCACACGCTCACCTGTTCAAGGGCTGAAAAAGGAACGGGTCGTTGATGGTGTTCTGCAATTTATCTTTAAAAGTTGACAAGCGCGATTCAAATGACTTCTGTATCTCAACGTCGATTGTTCTGGCTAGGTGAACGTATCGTTCCCAAACATCTGAGAGTTGCAAAACGTGACCCAGTGAGGCTGATACTTTAAGCTCTTTGCAAATTTGGATCATAGGTAAATTACTTTTGCCAGACTCCTTCATCTGCGTCTGTATTTTCTTCTGAATCCTTTCAGCCTTCACTATACACAAACTATGGTATTTCACTTCAGACGCTATCAAGCATGGCATACAATTAATGCGAACAAACCGTTGGTGGTCATAATTAGCCAGCATTCATACATCACCTGCCTCAGGGCTTCGCTTTTATTCAAAAAATACACCTGCTTATGTCGACACTGTCAGTCCGAGCCCTGGTGACGTATCGAGATGACGTCGGTTCTGTAGCAGCACATTCCACTTCTTGTGAAGGCGCTGATTTGTTCTTTAACCTTTGCAATCTTTCAGAATTGGTAAAGTTTGAGTACCATTCGCGCCGGGGTGGTACTTGAATTTCTCGTCACTATTTGTCAGAGTTTGTTCGATCCTAACAATAGTGGCAGCAAAATCAGAACCATGAAGTTCTTTCCTCAAGCCTGCGTACTTCAGAAGAGTCTCTTTGCCGTTATCCGTCAGATCTGATAATTTGTCCTTCGAACATTTTCTTTTCGGGCAGATAATGCATCGGTTATGGTTGGATGTTACAGCCATATTAACTAAGGAGCCCACCGTTGACGCCATATCCTCTGCAAAAAACGTCAGTATATCACAAAAATTACAAAAAATACTAAAAGTGACCCCTTCAGTAACACAATTCTTTTACCAAATTGCATTTTGGAAGCTATATTGCTTAAAAAACTCCTTGATAGATAGAGATATGGAGGGCAGATTTGTGCATCCCTTAGTACTTAGGCATCTTGACTGGGTCCATCGAGACACAACAAACACACGAAGTTTCGGCCAGGGGCGCCGGGTTTTAAAAAAGCTCGTGGGTGCTGATGCTCATGCACCGGCATTTGGGAGGGGGGGTGAACAGCCCGCCAGTGGCAAAAATAT